CCACCACCACCATCACCACCACCACCACCATCACCACCATCACCATCATCATCATCATCACCACCATCACCACCATCACCACCACCATCACCACCATCACCACCATCACCACCATCACCACCATCACCACCATCACCACCATCACCACCATCACCACCACCACCACCATCATCATCATCACCACCATCACCACCATCACCACCAACATCACCATCACCACCATCACCACCATCATCATCACCACCATCACCACCATCATCATCACCACCATCACCACCATCACCACCACCATCACCACCATCACCACCATCACCACCATCACCATCTCCATCACCACCACCACTACTATCACCTCTATCACCATCACCACCACCACTAACATCATCATCATCACCATCATCATCTCCATCACCATCATCCACACCATCATCATCTCCATCATCACCACCATCATCACCATCGCCACCACCACTAACATCATCATCATCACCATCACCACTACTGTCATCCTCATCACCACCACCCCTATGGTCATCGTCATCATCTCCATCACCCCCACCACTACTGTCACCTCCATCACCATCACTGCCCCCCAACCTCCAAACTAGACAAGTGGGAGAGATGGAGCACTCCCCTTAGTGGGGTGTTTTTAGAACCAAGGACATCTTGGGAGTCTCTGGAGGGTTTGAAAAACAAAGCTCCTCCGGTCTTATGGCCCACGTGCTTCTCCCTGTTCCTGCGGGTTCTGGCCCAGCCCCTGCAGAAGGCTGCCTGCGCTCTGGTCTCTGCTCATGCTTTGTTTCTGGGGCCTCTGTTGTTCTTTCTTGTTTGAGGGGTGACTGAGTTTGCAGGATGTGCCTGGTGTGTGTGGGGTGTTGTTACACAACCGAATGCCTTGGCGACTTGTAAAACTGCCACAAGCCAATGTGTCTGTGGGCACATCTGCTGGAGCCCTTCTATGATATCTACCCAGAAAGGCTCACTCTAGGCTGGTTCTGAGAGGGTACATGCCAAGAGCACCCCCAGGAACAGCCTAGCCCCTGCCCTGGGCACCAGTATGGCCTTTGTGCCGGAGCCCAGGCTGGGATCAGTCCCTGCCTGGATTCTGAATCCTTTACATGGGAAAGCTGGCATGCAGCATGGTGACATGCTAAGTGTGGAATCCAACCCCAAAGCCACACTTACTGAAATCTGAGCATGTCCTCTCCCTCCCAGAAGTCAAGGGCAGGAAGTGTATCTTACAGAGTTGGCTCAAACTCTGGAGCTGGACACACCTGACTGAACCTGGCTCTCACTGACAGCATGAGATCCCCTCAGCGAGTGCTGGAACTGTCTCACTGCAACTCCCAAAAGCTGATAGTTAAATGTGTAGAGAAATGAATGAGCTTCTTGTTAAGTCATTGGCAGCTTGAACTTGGCCG